GTCCCATCCAAGCTGACAGATAACCTTAACTGCCAAAGTCACCATGAGTTGAAATTGACTCAGTCGCAACTGATGGTGGTAGTACATACATTACCTGACAGGTTAAGATAGGGTATCTCATACGGCCATTATATTTATGTGATTTATTTATTTGCTTTCCCAGCTAGATAGCAATTTCTGTGAATATGTTTGCCATCATAAACCAATACGCATTTCCTTCCCCTTGATTACATTAATATACTAGATATTTGCATTGTACCTAGTTTACTGGATTGCTCTGAAAGCATACAGAGGAGAATGATGCTACCAAACATGAACAATTTAGTAACTCCCAAGGTTTCCATATATAGACTCTAGAATATTGGCCAGTAATAGAAAATTTCTGTATGAAATAAGTGTGTCAACATTTGGCTCTAAGTATCACAGCACCATCCAAGAACATGAGTGGCTAACAGAGAAGTAATTTGGGGCTTGACCACAAGGTGTCTTGTCTACAAGTCCCCTGGAAAGAGATGTAATGCTGAGTGGACATTTGTTCAAACACTATAATCTGGATGAAGTCTTCAAATATGAGGATGTGATATGGGAACTTTTTCTTTCCTTTGTGTTATTGTTGTCTTCTGTGAATAAGAGAAATTAGTCTTAAAATTTTAAGAAGCTAAGTAGACTGAGATATGTTAATATATATGAAGGGAGAGAATGAGAAAGAAGCATACAAAGAAAGAAATGGATTGACATTGGAGTAAACACAAAACCAAACTCAACCCTCTGCTATTGAACTGATTCTGACTTCTAGCTACCCTATGGGGCAGGTAGAATTGGTCTCATAAGGTTTCCAAGCCTGTAAATCTTTATGGAACCACACTGGTACATTTTTCTCCTGCAAAACACCCGGTGAGTTTGTAAAGCTGAACTTCTTGTTAGCAGCCAAGTGCTTAATCACTGCAATGCCAGGGTTCCTTGGAATAAACACAAGGGAACCCAAAGAAAAGCACTGTTCTCTACTGAATGAAGTGCAGAAACCTGAACAAGTCAGTTTTTCTTAGCTTCCACATATATTTATATATATTATAGGAATGCTAATGTGTGGATTGATTGCAAATGTGGTGTTTTGTGTTATATGGCATTTGATGCTTTGAAAGGAAAGAATCAAAGTACAAAATTGAATGAAGATCTCTTTGAAATAGGTACCATCAAGAAGTTCAGTAACAAGGCTACTAAAGTAATTAAAGTTAGGTTTAAAATCATGAAGGGGTTTTTATCACTAAGAATAGCACGTATTTGAAATCTCCTTTTCAGATATGTTGCAATGAGAAGCTTGTATGTTAAAATATAGAATGAATGGAGTAAAAAATAAATTTTAAAATTTAAAAGTGGTGTCACTTGTTCTAAGCAAATAGAGAAAAATTGTTTTATTTCCCTTGGAAATTAAAAATACACAGTATTAGAACTTAATATACTCATACAATTTATATGGTTCAGAAGTTATAAGAAAACATACACATCTCTATCTTTGTGTATATTAAAAGTATATATAAAGAAATACAGCTATAATGACAGCTGAAATATTATGTTGTCTTTGTATATATTACCTTAAAATATCTACTGATTGTCTGTATAAAATTCCAGTACACTCTGTGCTTTCTGCGAGAGTCCTACCTAATAGCAAGGAAATAATTTATCTTACAAGAAAAAAATACATACCAACAAAGTAGTCAATTTCTAAATTGAAAAGGGAGGAGAGTCTTTAATGTTATAATATTTCAAATATCTCGTCTCAGAAATTAGTTTCAAAAATATGAAAACAAAACAAAATAAAATAAAGGTATGCTAGATATTAAAACCATTGCCACTAAGTACTGTTATTCAATAAAATTGGTGCACTTAATATATACAAGAACATATTGAGAAACAGGTAGTTAAAATGTAGGTAAGCTAAAGTGCTTATCCTAAAGAAATATCTAACTTAAAATTTTTATTTGATTTTCTTTTATTTTATTATCTTTTAAAAACTATTAGAAAATACGTAAAGTTGTATTTAAATAACTATGGGTATTAAAACTTTTAGGTCATTGATTTGCTAATATTTTAATGCTATGGAAGCAATATATGACATTAGAGTTGGTTGAACTAACATGCTATGTTAAATGATAAAGCAAACACAATTTGAACATATTTCTTACAAAATCTCACAAATATAACTAATGAAAGGGTAAGATGACATGAAATAAATAATAAAAGCATATAGGTTCAGGTGATATAGTATAACAATGGTATTTCTCAATATGCTCTCATATTATATTGTAATAATATAAAATAATGCATCTCAGTATAGTTTTACTCTATAAGCATTTGCTTTTCCTATATGTCATTGAAATAAATGGAATATGACAATATACTTCAAGTGTGGCTGCCCATAGGATCACACTTGTGATAAAATGATAAAAATTGAATTAATATTTAAAAATATTGTCTTTCCCGACACTATGGGAGAGAGATCCAATAGATCTACTACCTCAGGACCATACTACTGGGGTACACCAGACTCAATTGGCACAACAAAATACATAAAAGCATTGTTCCACATCCTACACTGGTAAGTAGTGACTATGGTCTTAAAAGCTTTCAAGCAGCCATCTAAGATGCAGCTAATGGTCTCTTAGCATCGGAAATGAAGAGGAACACACACACACAAAAACAAAGGCATTTAGAAGCAATCAGCCCTAGGACATGATGGCCCTCGAGACCAGAAGAACTGGATGGTGCCCGGCTACCAATGCCAACCACTTAGGAAAGGATCAAATCTGGAGATCCTGGATAGAATGGGAGAGAAAATGTGGAAAAAATCCAAAAACTTAATAATGACCAGAATTACTGGTCAGATGAAATCTGGTGAGACTCCCAATACTATGCCCTGAAATACATTTGGCACCTGGAATAAAACTTACCCCCACAGTGGGCTCTCAGCCCAATAGTTAACAAGATGTACACTCAGACCACTCAACCCAGGATGCCACCCCACCACTCAATGGTAATACATCCCTTACAGCAATAAACCATGGGACATCAGAGGACCAACATTCAAACTGAGGAAATGCAGGACAAACAGGAGGGCATAATTATGAGGGGGACAGGGGGAGGGTTGCAGGGTAGGGAGGGGAGGAGACTGGGTTAGGGTTGGACATGGTGAATGGGAATTGAAACTAAATGTATGCATGACATTGAATGTAAAACAAGCTCTTAAAATAAAAAAAAAAATGTCTATAAGTATTCAAGTATTTATTTAAAATGGCTGTGAAAACAATCAGCTTCTTCATTATTCGAATGTTTTGTCTCTTGTATTTCAGGTTTGACTCTTTCAGAGTAGTGATAAAAATACCGCTTACTAAAAATTGGGGTTAGTGGGCCTAAAATAAAACACTAAATTTAAGTTCTACTTACACATTTATGTTAGGAATATTTACAGCTATAATTTTCTTCAGAGATAAAAAGATCTTTCCTGAAGATATCATTCTCAATCTCTGAAACAACTTACATATTTGGAAACAGGGCAAAAGGGTTACAACAGTTTAATTTCTATAGCACTGTATCAACATCAAGGAGCTCTGGTGGTGCAGTACCTATGGTATTTGATTGCTAACCAGAGGGTTGGCTATTCAAACCCACCAGCCACTCCTTAGAAGGAAGACCAGGCAATCTACTTCTGTAAAGATTTACTGTCTTGGAAATCCAGTGGGGGTCGCTATGAGTCAGAATTGACTCAATGGCAGTGAGGGTTTTTTTTTTTTTTTTTTTGGTATCAACCTCCCTAAGATAACAAGTTTTTAATACCATAGAAAAAAAGAATTGTGTTTGAAATTAATTACATGAGCAAACTATCTTTCAGTAATAATATTATGGACTCTTTCAAAAATAATGTATTTTTACTAATATAATATAAAAAATAGGAGGAAAATATATTTAAAAATATAGAACACTAAATTCCAGTAAGTAATGGCCAATAATGGCAAGTTAATGATCTTATGTAATAATTCATTCATTCATTCAATCAATAGTTATGTGCATAAGATACTTGGTCAGACACATTGGTATAATGATGGGTAACTCCAACTTATCCCTACAGTATTATTTTATCCCTCAAAAGTATTTTCAAAGTCCTTGAAATCTTCAGGTTTTCCAGTGTACATACTGATTATCAGAACTTTAATCCAAAGCATATTTGGTTTGCTTGTATCGAACATGTATAGTCCATTTTGTACTCCTTTTGGTACTGACATGGAAAATATAGAAATTTTTTTTCAAACTTAATCATGGAATTACCTTCAATCAGAGGCAAAACTTCTGTAAAATTTTCCACAGTGCTAAATTAAAGTACAGCTATTTCTTTAATAGGGAGTCATTTGGAAATTATGGAAGTTATGCATGCCAATGAAGTACTTCACAGATGAAAAACATTTTTAACATGATCATTGACTCTAATCAATTTTTGCAAAGACTTTTTGCAAAGACTTTGAAGATGATTTCAGTTGGAATAGTATCTTCTTTCATAGATTTATATTCTTAGTAAAGTAATGATTAGAACATCTACAAAATATTAATGGATATTAACAGTCATTAAAATATAAATCCTATTTTATATACAGTGATTATTTCACATGGATAAATTGACTTGGGGTTTATTTTACAGTAAAAATAAAATTTTATGTTAATATTAGATATAAAAGGAATTTCTTATATTGAAATATTTGTAGTCTAATGTTAATAACTAAGTATAAGGTTAATAACTAAAATATAAAATCTCACTTTAGAATATAACTGATGAAAATATAATTTAAGAATAAACTAGTAATAGTAAAAGTTGATAGTCCTCAGCTGCAGTAACATAATTAGCAACATAAAGTAACCTTATATGGATTACCCAGAATGATCCCCAAGCAAATTTGGCAGTCACTCGTGAAAACAAAAAGATAACCACTAAAATGTTTAAATCTTGCACTTACCAACCTCCACAACACTAGAACAGTTGGGATCTGTGAAGCCATCTGGACACTCACAGGAATAGGAGTCATCACCCAACCCTGACAAACAGATACCTCCATTTTCACATGGACTGGGATCACAAACATCACCTGAAGGATAAAAGAACAGAGATTTAATTTTTTTTTCCTTTATTTTTTTAAATCTTGGGCATTGAAACATATTATTTCTCATACCCACTAATCTTCCTTCAACAAAATAAGTCACTGTTCTACATATAAATTAGGCAAAGCCAATTTGAAACCATGTGCTTTTCAGAGAGATGCCATATAACAGGGTAAAAATTGAAGTTTGTAATTCAAATATTTCATATTTTAAGTTATTAATTCAGTTTGAGAGTTCTTTATTATATGTAAAGAAAATATTGTCTAATTTGTTAAAGAAAATTAACCTAGACATCTGTGAATTCAAGAATTACTTCATTAAACAACCAGCACAAGTTGCCACAAAGTCAATGCCACTTCCTAGCAAACCCACATATGTCAGAGTAGAACTGAGCTCCTCGAGGTTTTCAATGGTTAATTTTTTGGGAGAAATAGATCACCAACTAAACTTTTTTTGCAGGGTGTCTCTGGGTGGACTCTAGCATTCAACTTTTTGGTTAGCAGCCAAGTTTATTTTACACTTGTACCATCAAAGGACTCCTAAAGAAATAAAATCACGAAAAACCAAAATCATTGCTGTGGAGTAGATTCGGACTCATAGCAACCCCTCTGTGGGTTTCTGAGGAGGAATCTACAGGAGTGGATTTCCTAGTCTCCCTTCCTAGGAGTGACTGGTGGGTTTGAACTGTCAGCCTTTTGGGTAGCAGTCAAATGCCTTAGGCACTATGCCACCAGAGCTACTGGAAATAATTAAAGTGGGACCTAAACAATACTCTCAGCTAAATAGAAGACCTTCTAGAAATGTTAGGAGCTCTGGGAGCATGTGCTTAAAAGCATTTGACTGCTAACCAGAGGCTGGAGGTTCAAACCCACCAGCCACTCTTTGGAAGGAAAGTTGGGCAATCTACTTCCCTAGTGATACCACCTCAGAAACCCAAGAAGGGGTCACTATGGGTAGGGGTCAACTCAAAGGCAGTGAGTTTGGCTTGGTTTTCTAGAAATCTTGAGGGTACTACTATCTCAGAGGAGCCTGACATGTCCAAAGTAGTAATGATTAGGTCTAGAGTATAAGACATGTTTCAGACAGAACGTGGGTGAGGTTCTACCACATACAGAGGATTTGAATCAGAATCATAAAATTTCATTTTTTTTTTATTGTAATTTGGATGAAAATTTACAGAGCAATTTTATTCTCCATACAATAGTTTATACACATTTCATTTCATGATATTGATTACAGTCCCTACTCTTCCCACTACCTCCCTGTGGTTACCTCTTTGTCCTTTGCTATGTACTCCTGCCTTCTGAGCTTTCTCTTTGTGCAAATGATTAGCACACTCAGCTGGAAAGATGGAAGATTCAAGTTTACACAGAGGTGCTACAGAAGAAATACTTGGTGATACAATTCCAAAAAAATCAACCACTGAAAAACTCGATGGACCACAGTTCCACTCTGACACACATGAGTGGCAATGGGTCAACTGGTGTTATAGATGAAAGTGTTGGTATAACTCCTGGACTGAAAAGAAATGAGCCTTCTCAAGATTAAAAAGACACTTGAGCCCCAACTTCCTATTTTTTATTTCTTAGGAGCTTTCTTCACTTGTAAGAATTATCAAATGAATTATTTCACTTCTACCCCAGATTAACTATTTTTACATTTTAAGAAAATGAAAGTAGAAGTTATAATTGTAATCAAATGATTATGGTAAGTCATTTGCTATACTAAGAAGATAAATAAAAATACCACATTTATAATGAAACAGATCTTAGAGCATGCCAAGTGAATGAATGCCAAGTGAATGAATGAATGAATAAGTGTATTATTATTTTTTTCAATACCAAAGAATTTAGCATCACTAGAATATGGAGCCTTGGTTAGAAATGGTTGAAGAATATGTAGACATGTCAGATCAGAAACTATTAAAATGTGGCACTGTCATTTATAAAATAAAACATCACTGAAGCTTTAAGCAGAGATTTTAAAGTTTCACATAGATCTGTATTTCAGGATGACAACTCTGGCAGCACTTCATACAGTATATTTGGGGAACTTGAAGACTGTAGAAAAGATAGTTCAATAGACTGTCATTGTTTTTAGTTGTTATTGAGTCACTTCTAACTGATAGTGACCCCTTGTACCACAGAATAAAACACTGCCCAGTCCTGCTCCATCCTCACGATTGTTGCTATGCTTGAGCCTATCATTGCAGCCACTGTATCCAGCCATCTTATTGAGGGTTTTCCCTTCAATAGACTTACTCTCTAGCATTTTATATATCTAGCTAGCCAGCTACCCAGGCAGCCTTCAACTTCATGAGTTCACCCACTTAGCCTTCCATCTCTTGAGTGCCCAGTGAATGTTAGGCACTGAGCTAATTGTTAAATATACAGAAATTAAAGACACAGTCTTTATAATCAAGAACTGCAAAACCTAATATGAAAGATAAAAGATGAGGAAGTATTAAACTGCATAGTAATATGAGATCTGAATAGTATACATGATGCAATTTATGGGGTTAACAACTCTTGTAAAAGGATTCACTCAAGTGATAAAAAAGAGGAGTGGGTGCAAGCCCAACAACCCAGGCAAATGGAATAACATTCACAAAGGAAAAAATATCATGACTCATCCCAGGAACTTCAAGCTACCCTTTATAGCTAGAGCATAGACATGTATGAGGAATAGAGGGAAGTGCGGTCAGGAAGGTAGTAAGGTCATAGAAATAATGGCCTTGAATATTGTGCCAAAAACTTTGGATTTTATCTTTTAAGCACTGGAGAATCATAAAAAGACTTTGAGCATAGGAAATATATAGTCACATTAGTGTTTTAGAATGTCACTCAAGCAACATTCTATTGGATCTAATGGAGAGAGGCAAGGCTGAGGGCAAAGGCATAGGCATTAATATTTTGAAGTAGTCATAGCAAAAAATGATGAGGATTTTCCTGACCTTCTAAGGATCAAGAAGTAGCTATAGAAAGGGAAAGCAATGAAAGTACCATTCCAATCTAGTTTATAAATACTAAGTAATAGAAAAAGAAATGAAAAGTCCCTACAACCTTTATCCATGGTAATCAATCTAGAAGCAAAGGGTTATTATTGAGATTTTATAAAAAGAGTCAATTACAGTGTTAAACCTGATATCATGCCTCTCTGCCTTTGGTATGAACAAGGAAGGCATCACAGCTTTATCCATGGAGATAAGCAATATAGTCATCTACTAGCTCCATATTATTGGATAAAGATAAGTATTAACCTCAAACATTTTTTTTTTTTTTGTAAGATGGCAGTCATAATTCTATTTTCAATACTACCAAAAGGAAAAATTCTATATCTCCAGATCAGAACCCGGTGCCGCAATGTCAACAGATTATTGCAGATGTCTGCACTGGCTTATTTACACTGACATCAGCAAAGTCTATGAGAGAAAGGAAAGATTTGAGCTGTACCTAAGAAGTTCTCAAGCATACAAAGTTGGATTTACTTATTTATCCAAAATCAAGAGCCTCTCCTTCTGATCCCTCTATCTCCTATGTAGAATTTCCTGCACAGGCTATTGACTGATGTGTGATTCACTCATACCAGTTGTAATCTAGTCCAACTCATGATGACCTCGTTTATTTCAGGGTAGAACTGTGCTCCATAGAGTTTTCATCGGCTGACTTTTTGGAAGTAGACTGCCTGGACTTTCTTCTGAGGTACCTTTAGGCAGACTCCCACTTCCAACTTTTCTGTTACTAGCTGAGTGCATTAACTGTTTTCATCTCCCAGGGACATCAATGTGGGATCATAGTCCTGATATTCCCAGAGCTACATTAGGCTTGAATTTCTGACCTTTTAATTACATCATTATTATGGGAAGTTTTTGATATCCTAAGAAACCATTCTTGGCTACTGTACTACTATTTTTAAGTGATAATAGTAAATCTAGTTGGTTTTCTACCAGGTATGTGTGCCAGTCATAAAATGCTTCTGTGGCCAAATGATACAGGACTATCTGTTCAGTTTTCATCATATCTTGCAGATTCCAGCTGTC